AATGATTCCTAACAGGAATATAATTTTGATTTTGTTCCTCACAAGGACTTCATAAAGAATTATAGCAATCAAAACGTAAACATTACTTAGACAGTATATTGATCCATACTGAAATAATGTGAATATTAAAATCTTAGAGCTTAATGTTTCCTCAGCAATATCAGTAAACTATATTAAATTAATATGTTATTTTATTTGTCTTTTATTTCTAAATTTGTACATTATCAAAGCATAAATCTTGTGGGTTTGGTATTCATCCATTTTGTAGGGGTTTTGTCATTTAATATTTGCAGAATAGTGAAGTAATCCTTAACACTTCAACAGTTAGTTCTCTTTTTACTGAAAATGAGCAATAAATAAATTTTGATCATCAGTTTCAAATTAAATAATACTTAGTCTTTGGATAGATATAAAACATAAAATAGACAATCTCTCCTAAAACTTGTGTCTGCAATTTTATTTTTTGCTGTTTGTATTTAGTAGAATTTAGTAATTATTTTTGCAAGTAACAATAACCAAGACATTACAGCTTTCCATGTTCTCATAAATACTATATTAATTGCTTGAATATTAATTATAAAATAAATCATAAGAGTTTTTTTAGATTTATTAGTGTTTAGTCAATAACTGAAATCAAGAATGAAGATTAATAATGCATACATTGGTTGTACAGTGCATGCACAAATTTTCAGACGTGTGTAATCATTAAAGATGGCTACATTATGTATATTTTTTAAGTATACAGTACTCCACATTATAAATTCAAGGCTACAAATATAATTTCTGTTGATTTTAATAAATCATAACCATACTCAATTTCATTTTTTGTTAAATATTATTATTCTAATAGCAATTCAGACTGCACATTTCTTCATGCACTATTGTCTGAAAATTGGACACTGAAAATTGAGTGCTATATATAGTAAATTATCAGTTTCATTGCTTAAAAATTTCAGTGTGCATTCAAAATATTTATTTTCTTACATATTACATGAATTCAGGTATTATTCAGAGATAATACCTTTGTAGCACTTGATAGCTGTCTCCTATGGAGTTTGTGGAGCTTTGTGTTGGTTCTGGCACCTTGCCCAGCAGGAGGTATCCTCATACAGTCCTAGACAAAACTACAAAGTTTAGGAGTTTTTATATTATATGCTCTTTTGGCTTGGGGGACTTGAAAATGAGTCACAGGTGGGACAATAGTTGGTGAAGGTTTTTTGTGATTTTTTTACTTTATAGCAAAGAAGCACTTTATTTTTTTGTAATACATTCTGCTTAAGTTTTACTTCTGTCAGCAGTATTTTTTTTTCCATTGAAAACTTAGGTTCAAACAAACGACTACATTAATGGTAGATTTATGAGAAAAGTATGCATGTAAAAGGTGCCATTCATCCAGCTAGTGAAAGGATGAGGTTCATGGTTAGAGTCTTTACCAGAAAGATTAAATAGATGTGTCAATAACACTGTTTTAGTGTTCATCTGCTAAAGAATACTATTGGAAATGAAAATCAGTGCTGTCTAATAGGCACTAACACAACTGCAGCCATAACTACTGACTTATAGATCCACAATTTGTGGAAATAGTTGCTTTTGGGACCTGATATTTTCCCAGGCTTGGTCTCTGCTAAGGAATTATATATTTATTTGTAAAAGTTTGCATGAAATGGGTATGGTTTCAAAGGACTGGGAGCACCCCTGGAGTGCCACAAAGACTTTGATGTTGCAAAGACAGCTGAGTCAATTCAGGGCTAAGAGCTTGACTGTGCCCTCTGGTGCCCCTGGCAAAGCCTGTGTGGTCAGCTGGCTGCCCTTCAGCAGCTGGCCAGCAGTGCAGCTTCCAGGCCAGGGGCCAGCGGGCAAAGTCAACCTCCCAACCTTCCAGACTCCTCTCTGAGCTCTGGATGTAAACACTGGGGGGTTTTCCCTCTCTGTGGCCTGTGAGGGGATCCAGTGTGCTTGAGCAAATCCAGGCACAGCTGATTGGGAATGTGGTGGTGCTGCTCCAGACAAAGGGAATGCAGAGGTGACAGTCCATGTTGAACCCTTCCTTTGATGCTGCCACTGGGATGTGCTGTGTTCTTAGCCTGTCCTCCTCTCAAATGCACTGGCAATGAACCCAGATGGAATTGTAAGTGCAGTTTAAGAAAACTCGCTCTGCAGCTCAGCAGCATTTCCCTCCTCTGGGTGCTCCTGCTATGTACTGAATGCATAAATAAAGCATGCTAATTGTGCACATGAGCTGAGGTGAGAGCTGTTAGGTCCTTAAAGTTTGGGTTTCCCAATTTTATGATTAGCTATGTACATATTTGCTTTAATATTAATTTCATCCAACAGCTGTTTCTATAGGAAGATGTATCATATAAATAAGTTTTCATTACAATGGCAGCAAATAAATCCTTTCAGGGGAAATTTTTTAGGAAGTAGGAATACAATTAGTCCTTTTAAATAATATTCCCTAAAATATGCAGAAAATAGCAGATTGCAACAATTTATATTTGGCGTCTTCTATCTAACACAAGTCTTACTGCCTTCTTTAGATAAAAACTTATCAATTCTAATAATTTTTATCTTTAAAATCTTAGAGTTTCAGGTTGACAAAACCAGTGTGATTTTTGTCTTTTTTAGTTTAATCTAGTCTATTGTAGATAAACTAGCACTATATCCTCTTTGGAATTGTATTTTTTCTATCAGTTGCATCTGATTTGTGCCAATATTCCAAAGAGCTCTGTGTCAGATGAACTAAGATGGCATTGCATTTGTCATGAGGCTGTTATGAGGTTGATACAAAGAGATCGTTGTTTTTCATTATAGTGCATACTTTAATTTGTTGAAAGTTCTTACAACAAGCACTTTCATAGTTTCACGATAGCACAGTTTTTAAATGAAGATTAATGATTGCAATCCTGGTAACACCAAAATCACACTGCTCTGTACATCACAGATTGCAAAGAGGCTTTTGTTCCTGACCTAGTCTCCTTTTAAGACAGAGATCATGGCCTCTAAGCATCACAAGACCCATCACCAACAGTACTCTTGGAGAATCCCAAATCTGATACCATGTATTAAAACAGTACAATTATTAATTTTCTGGTTTTGTTGACACCAAGATGCCCAGCAGCCAGGCACTCCTAGAAGAGTGTTCTGCTCAGATGGAGGTAGGCAATGCTTCACTGAGTCCAAATCCAGAGTGCAAGGCATTGGGTGCAGGAAGGGCCATCGGATATATTACATAAGTTTGAGTCCTCCAAAGTTTGCAATATAACTGCAATGATACTGTGATCAACAAAATTACTTAGCAGCTATGAGACAGGATTAGGTGTGCTATGCCATTCCTAAACCTAAGTTTACAAAGGAATAGAAAATATAGGGTATTTCTTATCTTGTGATTGAGTCTTTTTGGTCTGATTCACCCATAGCATTCACTGTCCTTATACCTTAGTGAATTCAGAGAGCAAAGACTCAACCTAATTTTATTCTCAGAAAAGCAACCAAGGAATTAGCAATCTGAGAAAGCTGAATTATTTATTGATGGAGGAGATCTCAAAATTCAGGTTGGCATGGATTGACATGCCCCAGGAACAGCAAAGGCCAGTGACACAGAGCCACTGAGCTGAAGCCTCATGTTACCATGGGTTTCAGGCTTTGCAGAATCTTCCTCCAGCTCATTGATCAGAAGTGCTAAGGCAATTCACTTGGACTTTTATCTCTGAACATGCCATGGAACAATTTGGATTTATGAACCCCTGCAAGTCAGGTGGAGATTCTTACATTGGCTGCACATCTGCCAAGCACATACATTATCACATTAGATTCTTAAGTGCCTATAGTTTCCCAGCATGTTTGTGTGTTGAGTGGAAGGAATCCACTCAACAGCTAATTTTTTCCACTGTTCCAGTCACACCTTCTCACATTCTACAGTCTCATATTCAGATGTCTCATAAACCAAATATATGAAAAATGACCTTGCCTCCATGCTCATGTTGTCATCTGTATAAAAAATTCCAAGCACCACATAATATAAAACATTTCTTTTTATTCTCATCTTGCAATTAACTCCAGTCTCGTTGTAAATTTTCTAAACTTTGACAAGCAATACAAATTCAGAGCTGTAACCTACATTGCTCTGGCAGGTCAGTGGCAGCCTCATACTAAGAAATACAATCTTTTTTTTTTAAATTTTGGTATAAAAACTGAATTTTGCATACCATGCTGTGTACACTTGCTGCATGCACTACTTTTATGCATATTACAACTAAAAGAAATGGCTTTAACTGCTGCAACACTGTTCTGCCAGGTATATGCTGAGAATAAAATTTGTCTTATATAAATCATGCAAGTTTTTGCTATAATGATCAAATGTGACAAGTTGCACAGCATTCACAGAGAACTTCTCATGGTTTTGTGGACACAGAAGGGTTTACAGTAAATGTTTCGCTCTGAGTGCTGGTACTTTTGTGTTACTTCATACATCTGAGCAAAAATATAGTTTTTTTCTGTGGAGAACAGAAGGGAAAAAGAGGTCCTAAATTAGTTTAAACTCAGAGTTAGATATGCTTCTAAACTCCTCAATACAAACCGAGAAGCATTACATATTATAAAGGCTATCACAGTTTGTGCTGCAAGACTATAATAATTTATAATATCCTTTAAGATTTCTGTGTCATGGCAAGTGTTATAAATGTAAGAATGTAAGTCTATGGTGAAAAATAATATTGTCAAGTGCTTTAAGAAGTTTCATATGTAAATTGTCATATAAATAGGAAATAAAATATTTTCATATAAAATAAAACAATCTCAAAATCTGGTTTGGGAAATGTATTGATCAAGTAGAGCAAATTCTTCAAATATTTTACCCAAGAATTTCTGATACACCTGAAAAAATAAAGTTCATACTACTATATTTCTTTTTTTTTCTGAATTATGAAAAACAAGGATTAGTTTTACTTTGAGTGGAAATGTAACACATTGGTTAATTAATTTTCTGGTTTCCTCAAATACAGATCTGCAGGCTTCAGCGTCATCTCTCAACAGGAAAATATGAGCAGAATCTCTTTTCAAACCAGCCTGTTATGTTTGTATCTCCTACCAGTCAGCCCCCCTGCAAAAAGCTGATTGAACTTATACAGCTGGCAGGAGGGAAAATATGTAAAGCCTTGCGTCAGGCAAAAATCTGTATAGGAAGAAAACCAGGAAAGAAGTACCAGGAAATAATATCTTTATCAGAAAAATGGATATTAGGTAAGACACCAAATTTTAACTTATATAAAATATTGCAGAATATGTATTTAAAAAGTTATCAAATGTATTTCACTGAACTGAGGTTATGAAAGTATGAAAATGGAACCAAGCTGGGTTTTCAGGGAAGTTGTCTCTATGGTGAGATCTTTCTCTTACAGCTAAGAGGGCTTTATGATGGTCCTGGTCACCATTTAAATTTTACTTAGAACAAATATCATCCAAATATCTTCAAATGTATCTTTTGTATGATGGTTTCACTTAGAACAAACTAAATTATGGGAAAATGCTTACATGAGAATTGCTTTCTAAAATAGCACTTATTTCAACTTTAGATGCAGTTTTAACTGGTAAAAACTGGCATAGTAATACTGAAATATAGTGACTGGTACCCTCTGATAAATTTTCCTGAATGCTGTGTTGTATGAAAGACAATTTTTGCAGTTTCCATTTTACTTGCAAAAAGTTTCTTTTTAACACCTGCTGTTAAGTTTCTGAGTTCTTAGTCTATCATTTTTCCAATTCATTTGCCACCCATTCTGACAGACTCTAATTTTCAGCAAGAGTATTTCCCAAAAAGAGATCTTGTTTAGAAAAAAAAAGCTTTAATTTATGTCATATGCTCTGTCAAACTTCTACAGAAAATGTCTCACTCATACCCTAGCAATAAATGTACTACGGGAGTTGATGTTATATGGAAGTCGCCAAGCAAGTCCTAATCTCTTGACCTCAAATACTGTCAGATCATAATGACTTAAAATCTGAATGAAAATACCATTAAAGAAGAAAGGAAAAGTGAGCCATAAGTGAAAAATTATCATCTGAATGCACATTTTATGTCATACCTACTTAAAGTATAAGATAAAATGGTGAGGATTGACAAGGGAGACTTAAGAAGGTGGCATTGTTTATTGTACCTTTCTCCAGTTTCCAGGAAGACTTAGAGAGCAAGTGTGCAAAAAAAAAGTGAGCAGGTAATGAAACCAGAGGTTTGTGCAGGACAAAACACAGAAGTTTCCAATAGCAGTGCTCCAGATGGACAAATGCAGTGATCTGAAGCAGTGTGTGATTCGTGTGTCCCACTCCCAGATCTCATGAGCTCCCTGCAGCTGCACAGGCCACCCTCAGCCCATCAGTGGACTGGAGGAATTGCATATCCAGCTGCTAACAAAAGACTAAATTTTTTGTGCTATTTACAGATTTCCCAGATCATTTTTGCAGTCTGATTTCTAATCACTACATCCTGCTCACGAGGCATGGTCACACTCCATTTAATGGGTTTTAATTCATTTTGATGAATCATCCAATCTCAGAAAAAAGTATTTCTATATGATGCTTTAAAGGAATTATACAGAGTTTTGAAGCTCTGCCCCTTTCTCAGCAGCTGTGTACATAATAGTATGAACAGTGTCACCTATAAATTGCTGTCTCAAATAAATAAATCAGATCTGAAGGTGTTTCTAGTCCTTCACACTCAACTGTTGCAATCCAGTTGGTTTGTGGCTATCTGCTTTCTGCTATTAGTACCAGCTGCCAATTAATTCACTCAAGGTTGACCAGAACAAAAAGCACATAGTTCAATAATGCAGCACCCTTTTAAAACTTGAGTAAATGGTAAGTGCTTGCACTTTTATCATTTGACTGTTCACATTTATTTTCTCTCTGTAGGTTCTCAGCTCCACCAAAGTGCTTTACACCAGAAACTGCTCTGAAGTACATTGTTTTTTTATCATCTGTTTCTTTTGCATTTTATTTTTAATAATCCTGGTTTTTTTTTAATTTATTTTAGATTCAATCACTCAGTATACAATATGTCCTATGGAAAACTACATTTTTCAGATGTGAGCGAACTCAAGAGTTTCCATATGGTTGTAAGGAGGCACGCCTAACTTGGATTCAACAAAAAAATAAGCTGTGAAGCAAATTCCAAAGAGAATGCAAGTCACAGACTTATAAATATGGAGAAACAATTTCTATATTTTTAATATTTGTGCAAGTGTTCATCTTGTGAAATTTTTAGGTTTTGAAATAAGGTATTTCCCTAATAAAAGTCATCTTCCTTTTATTTTTTTGTTGGAGACCTTTGGAACTAAAAGCTGAAGGAATCACTATTCTCTGGGAAGGAGTGGAATTTTCTAGTCTTTAAGCAAGGTTAGTCATATTGCAGTGCAGATAAAAGATGTGCACTCAGCATGGGTGAGTGTGGCTGAGCTGGGCCTGGTGCAGTCAGCAGGAGCTGGGATCCCAGCCAGATACAGGAATCCTGCTGGCTTTTCTAGTCCCAGGGCCTCTGCACACACCCGAAGGGCCACGTTGCCACATCTCCATGATCATTGCTAGATACATTTCTTTGGTAAAAGGATAAGGTTGCCCATGGTGCTCAACTCACACCTGCTGGTGTAAACTTGCACTTCTAAACTGAGTTTTCAAAAGGAAGTGAAACTCAGTAATTATGCTCAGATGTGTAGTTAAGGTATTGCTTTACTTCAATGCCTTTAATTGAATCTCAAAATGTGTTTACCTTACACCTAGGCTGAAATCACAGCTACTGACTGAGTTAAATGCATTTAGACAGCACATCTTTCAAATGCTAAAATCTGTTGAAAAGGGAACATGCTATGAAATCCTTTAGGTATGTTTGCAAAATGCATGCAAATGTCTTACATATTAAATTCCTCTTTAATCTGTAGATTTGTTTTTAGCAGGTTTGTATGTAAAGTATGTTGCATAGCACCTGTCGATCTGTAAATGTACAAGCTCCTTTAAAAGATTTCCAAGTACCAAATAAGTACCATACATCAAAATGATGTAGCATGACAGAGAGTAATGTTGTTAAGTAATGTAAAGGCAGCTCATAACTCACACCTTCCAAACTCAGTGTTCCCATCAGTTTCCTCAACATAAGACACTGCAAACTCTGTACAAAAAAATATAATTTTGAGTTAATATTATGAAAAATCAAAATATAATTGATTTTTATGTTATTTTGCCATTCTATTGCATTGTTCTAATTCTTGGGCTTTTGAAGAGATTTGAATATAAAAGTTCTGTAAACAAGGATTATACAATCTTTTTCTTCAAAACAAGTTCAGCAGTATCTGTGGGTGACAGGCTGTTTCAGGTAAAAATTGCATTTGTATAGTTGCTCTGTAAAATGTTAAATATGCTTATAATGGAAAATCTTCACATTATGATTCTTCTATGGAAAATTAAACTGATTTTATTTTCTGAAATGCTAAGCACCTGTAACTCAAAAGGTTAAGACCTCATTTTCAAGTGTTACATAGCTGGATTTGGTATGTAAAATATAAAATCTAATTTGCTGAGGCCTTTTCCTTGCTCAGTTTTCTGAAATGCAAATTTTTAACAGTGAAAAGTATGTTTGATATAAAAACTGTTATGTTTGATATGAAATTTGGTAATCGTGTCTGTCTGCAAATTGTACAGTTTATCATCAAAACTATTTACCTGTTCTGTTCAGAGCACTGGTAACATATTATCACCTTGACCTTATGAGCCCCCTTATTAGGAAAGCAGTTACCAAGTATTATATAGTAAAATAAAAATTCTTATATAGGTTGTGGCATGTGAACACATGGTTGCCAGTAAATAACAGAATCATTTGTTTGAACTATACTGTTTAACTTTGACTTTAACAACCTCCTGGTTTTATTTTTTAGTAATTTCCTAACTGTACTACCCATAAAAATCTGTCACTATTAATTTATAGAATATAGCACTCCAAATCAGCTTTCTCATAAATCTTCTTAAGATTAGTCTCAGCTATTTAAGTTGTAAATTCTTGGATCATCTTGTTGGTCTTTATTAGTCACACATGTAAAGACTTGACAGTGAAAAGTCTAATATCTTTTTTTCTAAACTAAAAAGTTTCCAACAAAACAATCTGCCAATTTAGATAATTCCACCTTAAATTCTATGGTTGATAGAAATCCCTGTCTACTGGCTCTTTTTGCAGAATTTCTATTAGACAGGCAGATAGAGCCAGCAGGAAATTGAATTCCAAATTCTGGTCTCACATTCTGGACAATAGGACTGCTGTCCACCCTGACTGACTGCTTTCTGAGAGTACCCCCAGCACCAAGAAGCATCAGTGATTCATGAGTAGCTTTGAGTTCTGAGATCTTTCCAACCTGCAGAGGTCAGTGAACATTCCGCAGCACAGCCATGGGCTCTCTCCTCTGCAGACAGGTACAGGATCTCCTTATTGGGAAGATCTACTTAACTTTTATTCATTTCCTTTATTGCTTGTTTTTTCTTTTCTTTTTTTTTTTTTTTCTTTTTTTTTTTTCAGGAGAAGTTGTCTTAACCTTACCTTTTTCATCCTGCAAGAATACTTTGCCATTCATTTGTGAAAATGACTCAGCATTGTACCTGTGTCTCCTCAGAGAGCTTCTGCTGCCCTTCTAAAGGCTCTCTAGCTCAATCCCATTAGTACAATTACAAGTCTTTCTAAGATAGCTGAACTTAATTTGTAACATGTTTAAACCAAAATATATTGGAAAGTCAAAATAAGAATTATTTCTCTGCGAGATTTGTAAATGTAGTTAATTTGTAAATGTAGTTAAACTCCTGACACATTTTAACTCATTTTACTTTCATTGGTGCTATAGGGGGTACCAATTGGGTGCACAGACCACCAATATCCCTCCCATCTTTCCTCTTCCAGAGATAAGAAGAGCTTTTACCACACTTTGCATAATGGAGTGGGGACTCACATTGGCAAATACACAAACACTGAGGACAAACACAGGCATGGCCTGGAAGAATGTGTTGCTTAAGCTGTGTCAGAACAGCAGCAAAGTTGGTGTCCTCTTCAAACCATATATCCATAAAAAATAGCTTAGGATCTAAAAAACTTTCTTAGTTTCAGTGACTAATAATGTGAGATTGGCTAAGGATGTGTTTGAAGGAAGAATGCCAGTGAGGTAGGTGGATCTTAAGTATTTTCCCCTTTCTCTGTTTTTGTAATCAGTTTTAGATTGTAACTGCATTTGTGGTAAGTATAGCAATACAGTAAAAAATCTCTAAATATTCACAGTGATCCCAGTATATGAACCATCTGGTATTGACTTACTAAACTACAGATTTTTTGAGCTTGTTTTATGTTTCTGGATATCTTCTTGACTCAACTATAGTCAGCTTTTTGGAGATTGTTCCTTTTTAAATAAAAATAAGTCATAAAAACTATTGCATCACTTGATCATCTGTTTATAGTTCCACTAAAATAAACTTGTGTTATATTAATTGATTTGTATAGAATGTAATTTAGGACTCAACTGCATTTTGTGCTAAAGTGTTAGCAGCACATTCAGTGCTAGGAAGCTGCCAGCACAAACACACTTTTTTTTTTTTGGTGAAACCTTAGGGACTGTGAGGCAAAGGTGCTCTAAATTAGTCTTTCTGGGCAGGAGCTGTGGCTGTGTGGAGCAGTGTTTCTAACACATACTAAGCTTAAAGTTGAGGTATATCAGTAAGAATATCTAGAAAACTGATTAAACTAATTATTTTTTCCTCCAAACAAACCCACAACAACAAAAAAACTTAACTATTTCCTCACACTGAAAACTGAAAAGTATTAACAAGCCTCTGTCTGTGCCAGCAGTCATCTTTAATGACAGCCCTCATAAAATAAAACCAAATGTCTGTGGTCCTATTGCAATAAACAGGGTCTTATTTCTGATCTCCTTTTATTGCTTTATTTCAAAATTAGCTCTTTGCATGACATGCTCTGGAAGAGTATCACCTGTACTACAGCATCGTGCAGCAGCTGATAACAGGGTGACTAAAAACTACCAGTGGTTATTTTTTTACCTGTTATCAGCACAGGTGTCTGCTGAGAGCTTTTGCTGGGACCTCAGAAAGCAGAGTTTTCCTTCTGTTGATACAGATGTGAGCCAACCTCTGACCACGCAGGAGTGCCTCAGGCTGCTGTGCACACTGAGGTGTTAAGCAGCAGCCAGGTGTGATGCAGGACTGCACGTTTCCTTGAACGTCCTTCAGAGAGTGATTTGTGGCACAGCCCTCCCAGGCTGCCAGCACGTCCTCACCCTCCTCACTCTGGGAGCCTCGGGCTCGCACTGCCTGAACCTCCCCGCAACCTCTTCCCTGCCGCTTTGTGCTGTTTGCCTTGTAGCTTCTGCTGTCTGGAAGGCACCTGAGCTGTGACTAGAGACAAAACTGCCACGGGATGTTTATTTTCCAAGGGGATTTATCAGGGCCCACAATGTCGTTCACATTGTTTTAGAGATTTATTTAAAGGAAAAAAAGGTGCGGCTACATGTGAGTTCGTGAAAGATTGGTACCACCAGTCCAGGCAGGTTTAGGCTTTGCTTGGGATTTGTTTTTCTCTCTTCATCACAGATTTTATGGAACTATTCACTCAGGGCTTTTAAGAGAGAAAACCAGGTCTTTAGGAGGGAGAGTGCAAAGGCAGGCGGTTTCTCAATATTATTGATGTGACATGTGCATGTGACAGTCATGGCAGCTGATCTGAAACTTGGAAACTCTTCTGCAAGTGGTTACTTTATGCAGTACATTGATCTCTCTCTCTCTTAAGACCCAGCTTTTTCAAAACTTCAAATAATTAAAGAAATACATTTTAAAAATCAGAGGAGAAGATAGCTTCATGACTGAGAACTTTTAAGGAGATGATCTCATCTCTAAATTACATTTTTACTTCTTGGATACAAGTTAGACTTGGATACAAGTATGGGGAGAGGTAAAGAAGAAACGTTTTCCAGATTTTCTGCTCTGGAGTGAAGCATTCCAGTTCATTCACTCAAGCTGAAATTTGTCCATGGGAAGTTTTACGAAGTAAGTCGTCCCATGGATCTAGAGATAAGCCTAAATCCAAGATGATTTTTATGCATGCAGTATGGAAATTGCCATGACTTTAAATGTTCTGTGAAACATTGTGGATAAACATAAACCAACATTCAAAATTCTGCATTGTACATTTTAAAGATTAAGTTGAGCAAACCCAAGATTTTTGATCTTAAAATTTTTGGGGAGGGCACAGGTTTTAGTTCAAGAAATCAACAAATATGGACCTGCTCTGATTACAGCCTAATGTGTCAACTCATATGAAAATCAAGACACTTGGGAACCCTGCTAAAAGCTTGCAGATACTTGACCTCTGTGAAGAGCCTGGCTGGTCCCTTTGCCGCTTTTAATGTACACTTAAAGAAATCTGGTGCTCCTCCTCCTCCCCACTGATGACTGAATATTTCTGAGTAACTTGAAATTCACACCCACTTGAAATGCTGACTTGGGAATTCACTTTTTTGGACACATGTTTCATCATATTTCAGCTGAACACAAAGATAAGCATTTTAGAAGTTGGAGGAAGAGCATTTCCTCCTACAGAAGAGGATTTATATTTTCCCTGACATTGCCCAGGCAACACAGGCTTGAATAAAAAATTGACTCTAAAAGCAGAGTTCTCTAGTCTGGGAATCGACACTGTTATTTTATTCCCAGCTACACTCAGTATCCTACTTGATGAAGAGAAGAATGTCCTTAAGTGCAGGGATGCTGAACATATTTTGATGACCCATATAGAAGCTATTAAAGGCCATAGCTGCAAATAAAAGAATTTGAAGTCTAGAACTTGAGATTCACTTTGCCCTGATTTTATCCAGCCTTTTCTCCTTCTGTGCTTCCTTGTCTTCTTTTTCCTTGATGTCAGTGATATTTCATATATATTACATTTTAAGAGTGTTGTATGAGAGACAGAAACCCATAGTCTCTAAGCAAAACTCTCTTGCACAGTATCACAGCCCCTCTCTTACAGAAAGAGATCTCTTCTTCTGCCTCCCCATTTGGAATCTTTTGCATACCTACACCAAAGGCAGTGAGACACACACAAACTATGAAGCTACAGCACCCATGGGAGATCTGAGCCTGGATCTGCCCAGGCTAACAACGGCCTTGTACCAGGTCTTCAGTACCTTTATAAGGGTTACTCATACCACTCAATTTGCTATCTATGCAACATAGAGCATCTGAGTTAAAAGTGTGGGTAGACACAATGACAGCAGGAGCACAAAGACTCCTAATAAAGATTGTCTGAATATCCAACTGAAGTTTTCCAGGAGATTATATCATTAATGAAGAGAGGTTTTTATCTCAGGAAGCTTTGTCTCATGTCCAAATTAGAGAGCTAAAGGTCTAAGTAATCCAAAAGGGGATTGCCCACTGAATTCAAGAAAGGTTCTTTACTTCCTGCCAGCTAGCAGCACCTTCCTTTGCATTTCCAAGCACACAGGTATTCAGTTCTGTTCTCCCTTGTGTCTAAACAGAGACAGGATATTTTGGGAAGGTTCAGAGAAGGGCAGCAAAGTCAAACCTACAAAGTGTCCTCTGTATTGAGAAATGATTGCATAAACTGGGGAATCCCCTGCCTTCAAAAGAGATGACTGAGAGAGCAGTGTTACTCTTCACACCACATAGAATCAAGCTGTGGAACTTAGTGGATCTTAAAACTTTATATGGATTTTAAAACAACTGAGGTAGGAATTGTTGGAGGCTGGACAGTCTTGCTGAATGGCATGGTGACTCCCTCAATCTTGATGGCACCAATTCCAGGTGCTTCCTGGCCTTTTTGCTGCCAGGCATTAATACAAGACACTCTGCACCTTCCAAAACAAGCTGTAAGTGATGGGTATGATGATCTACAGTGGTCTATAATACTGCAGAGAGACAGTATCTGACAGTGACCCACAACATCAGTCAGGGCAGCAGAGAAGATGCGTGTTGCATCTGTGGCTGCGACAGTTCAAGGAAACTAACGGCACCAAAGTCTGCTATAGCTCCAGTGGTGACTGTCATAGTCACAGCCTGAAACAGTGTAGGTTGAATCTTAATCTTACTCATCCTAATTAACCATCACTTTTCCAACCCTGGAGGTGGAAGTCTGCATCCAAAAAATCTCCTCAATCCAACTTTGTGGCCCCACCACTACTGCACCAAATAAGGGGTGTCTTCTTACTTGTTATGATCTCCCTACACTGCTGAGAGACTGTTCTTCCAGTGTGAGTAGCACAAACCTGTCTCTTTTCATGGACCAGACTATGAAATGGGTACATAACCATAGGAAATGAGTAGCAAAGTGGTCAGCTCTGCCCACTTTCCTGGCACAGATGCCATTTCTTTGTGGCATGCAGTAAGTGGGAGAGCTTGCTCACTTACAAGGACTCCCAGTACAGTTGCCAACCCTCTGTGTCGTGTATTCCACTACTGTTTGTATCTAAAATAATATCAGAATTCTTTCTAATGAATTAAAGAATAGTTTTAGGGTGTGAACTTATCAATAAATAACCAAAGGCATACTTGATTTCAACTTGGTAACTTTTTGCTTTTGTATTTCTGACAACTAACTTCAGTTACTGAGGTAAGAAAATCTTTTTTTTTTTTCAAAGTAGGAACAAATGCTCTGTTCTGTTGTAACTAATACAATTTACTCATATCAGTGGCCTTATCTTTCTTTCATTTCTATCTTAGTAGCTGGGCCCTGTATAATCAGCAATTCATTAAGAAAATTGCTACTTTACTGCCTAGTAAGACAAAATATTCTTAAGATAGACTTCCAGCTCCCAACACAGAGAAAAAAATGGTGTACAAATGTCCAATCCCAAGTTATACAAGGAAAGTACAAATACAGGGGTCTCTCAGGAAAACTGGATGTTGCAAATCGAGTGTGGGAAAATGCTGAGAGCTTCAGGTCATGGCTGACATTTAAACTCAACACCTCTGCTTCTGCATTGCTATTACTGGTAGTCAGTGACGTAAAACACTGCTCTGCTGTGGGTTTGATATCGAGATAATCTGTACAATGAGCCACTGAATCCAGCCATATTTACAGACTTAATAATCTCTTTCTGCAGAATATGAATATGAGTACCTAGAAGCAATGTTTGTTTTTAACTTGCAGAGCTGTGCTCTTTTGCATGACCTGCACAAGGAAAGTATTCATATCTGCCTCTTCACAAGGGATTTCTGTGCCAATATCATTGCTCATAATTCAGCTAACTGAATACCTGAAAACTGATTGCTACATTTTACAAGTCAGAAAATTCAGAGAGAAGCTTTATTTCCATACTTCATTTCTGCTGTACCACAGAGGGTCAGAGGT